GAACTGCTCCGGCTGCGGGAAGGCGCCGCGGGCGCCGAAGGGCAGGTAGATGCCCCCGACCGCCACCCGCCCCAGGCAGCCCGTGAAATTCTCAGCCACGACGACCGCTGCGTTGCTCTTCAGGAAGTCCAGGTTCCCGGCGTTCCCCTGCAGAGTCACGTTAACGGCGCCGTCCAAGCGGAGCTGCCACCTGGAGGAGAGCGCAGCCGGCTCCTCCATCGCCACCGCCACCGTGTGCCAGGCGCCGTCCGCCACCGACTGCTGGCTCAGGAACCTGACGCCTTCGATGCTATTCCCACTCCTGATGTCAACGAGCAGGGAGGAGTTCTTAATGGCTATCTGGAGGGAATCCACTTCCTCCACAGCCCGAAGCAAAACAGCATCTTCATCCCTAGTCCTGAAATCCACGTGGAGGCTGCTCAGAGTTCTGGTCACTGATGTATTGCTGGTAAATTCAACGGCACCATAACTATTAAATGTTGCATTGGCCAAACCTACAAATAAAAGGGTAGCGCATAAGGGATTTGAAAGACAATTGGTGTCGTGTTTGAGGCAGACCAATGGCAAACCCCTGGCAGGTTCTCTCCCTTAAGACCCATGTAAGCTTAGTGTGAGCAGGATTACAGGCCTCGCCACTGGCAGCCTTAAAGCTCTTCCTGTTTACGGTTGCACCTCTGATAATAATGTCAAGCTCCTCAACAGCAACTTTTACTCGTCAATCTCACAGCAATGCACAAAAATGCCACTATTTTTAGTGATAAGAAGAAACTGAGACACCTTTGCAATATTTAATTGGGTCCCACGTGGTGGAATAACTCGAGACTCCAAAAATAGCTGACCATTGCAGAGAGCAGGATGGTCCTTGTGCTGCAAGGATAATTAGTCAGTCACTCCACAGGAGCAGCCAGGCTCCTCCCTGATCACGTCACACTAACACCTTTGAGTACCATCTTTGCTCTGTCACAACCCATGTGAACCCCTGAAGCACATCCCACCTGCAAGAGCGTGTGCCTGGCACTGCTCTGTTTCCTTTCTGCAGCACGTGTTTACTTTCACACCTCCTGCACCAGCACAAAGCAGGGGCAGTCCCCGTGGACAGTGAACATGAGGGGTTTTACCCACATGTGAGCGGGAGCGGTACGTACACACGTATCCTGCTGGAACATCCATACAGGTGGTAGCTTCAGGACACGGGTCACTCTGACACCAGACTCTCTCTTCACAAAATTTCCCAGTGAAATTTGCTGGACAGCTGCAATGGAAATCATTCCAAGTGACAATGCATCTGCCACCATTCTGACATGGTTCAGACTGAAAAACAAAACAGTGGAATTTAGGAGCAGTGTAATTCATCTTTGGATCTAAGAGAATCTGGCAGAAGGAAAGGTGACAACAAAGATCAGTAGGAGCAGCACTTGAATCAAGAAAGGAGTGTAATTAAAATAGTGACTCAACAGCAGCAAAGGAACCACAAGGGTCTCTGTACAAGAAATTCCTGAGACTTTGCCTTCCTCTCCCTTTGTGTGCTGCTGATCAACAGAAACTCCCCAGGCAGAGCTCCATCAATTTGGAAGAGAACAAAAGCAAAGGTGAGAAACAGGTGAAGCAAGCTCCAATGCTCCTGAAAACCTCACAAAGTTCTGGCACTAGAAGGACATACCTAACACCAGAGGGGTGACAATACTTTATAGTAGCTTGAGATTCAAGAAGGGCAAAATCAGGGATTATGGCCTCCCCACCTCCACATGTGGCATAAAGGAGAGGCAGCTTCTGATCTAAGGACACCTGGAGACAGTTCCTTTAACTGTTGTTGTCACGAATTCTGGGGGAAGAATTTGTCGTGCAATTGAAACAGGAGGAAGGGAGGAGCTGGAGAGGTTACTGGTTAGAGGGTGGAGTCTGGAAAGCACATGGGCTGGGCAAAACCAAGGTGGGCAGCACAAGAGCAGGCTACCCAAGTTCTACAAACTACCAAAACTACAGGGGAGCTAGAGAAAACCTGGTGCTTAAATTGTGTGTAGTATATTGACTGAAGCAGCAGCATATGGACCAAGTGTCCTTCAGTACTTAAAAACCTGCAAATGTTCCCAATCTCATCAGGAGTCAAACTGTTCTGTAATCACAGAACTATAATAAACTGCACCCACGTAGAGACACACGAGAGCGCTCATACCTTGCAGGTGTTATCAGAGATGCAGCCATTCACAAGATTACCAGCCTGAGCCCTGTTGAGTTCCTGTGGCAGACTGTAGTTGTCAACCTCAAAAAGCTGTATTTGGTGGCTGTTCAGTTGGATGTCTTGCAAACAGCCTTTAAAGTAGCCTCCCCACATATCAGTGCTGTCTGGGTCAGGATGTCCACCGACATACACCTCATCACCAGCTAAAAGAGGTCTTGCTAGGAGCTGTCCTAGCTCCAGGTATGTGTCTGACTGGTGAGCACCAACAGTTCCTCCTTGGAAAGACAGAACTACCAAATGTCTTCTCCCATCAACTAGATTTTCTGGAAAGGTCACAGCATCTGTAGATACCGTCTCTATCTTCAGTTTGCCATCCTTCAAGTAAATGGTTAGGCAGGGGTCAGTTTCGTTGCTGATTTGCAGAAGCAAACCGTTCGGTTTCCGACTACGAATGAAAAAGGAGATGTTGAAGTTTTCACCAAGGCTGTCAGAAAGGTTGAAAGAGGCAAAGCTGGTGGAGTTCTCTAGGCCAAATGTTGCTGCTGGGCGCTCTGGAAGAGAAACGAGATGCACATCAGCTCAATGACAAGGGAAATGCAGCTGGCCCAGGGGTATTCTAAGCTGCAGCTCCTTATGAATGGGCCAAGACCTTTCTTCCCAGCATTTTCAACGTGCATCAGGATAATTATGCTCTCTCCCCACACACGTCTGTGAAATTAAGAAGTGTGTCCTTGCTTTACCTGGAGGGCAAGAGTTCAAGAACTCAAGTAGCAGCAGAGGGAAACACAGGTCTAGCAAAGCCCTTGTCACCTAACAAATTTACTCATGGACTTTTAAGCTACAAAGTTGATTTTAAAATTCATAAATTGGACGACAGCAGAACAACATTATACTTGCCACATGAAGGGTTCAGGAGTGAAAGAAAAAATGGAAACTATTAATATAAGCCTTGCAAGAACAAAAAAATGCCAATAGATACAACTTTAACTCAAAATCATCAAAGAGCTCCCTTTAACACTTTGTGGTCTATTTATAAAGTAATACATCCCTACTCATCCTCAACTCAGAAGCTCAAGATCAACTATTCCCAGCAGAACAACTTCCCTGCCCTGCTGCATTCACATACATCAAACACAAAGATGAAGTCAGACAGACAATTGGTCCTGCAGGAGCAAGTGACAGAAAAAGGATCATTGAGAATTTTATTTACAGAGCATTTTGCTTTAGTTTTCTCCCAGGCCAAGAAGAGAACATTGCTTCCAGAGCTGGCACCAACTCTTGTCTCGTATCTCTGAGGCACCGACAGAGAGGCGCTGGCAGATGCAAATGATGTGGCACTTACCATCCGTGCAAGCAGGGCCTCCGTAAGGCCTAGAGCACTCGCACCTGAAGGTTGCCCAGAGGTCCACACAGAGCCCTCCATGGAAGCAGGGCTGGGAGAGGCACCACTCCGTCCGGTCGCAGCCCCGCTTCACTGGGGACGACTCGCCCGCAGGCAGATCCCCGGGGAGCACAGCTTCAGCATCTACCTGGAGGTCCTCCAGGCAGCCAACAAAGCCTTGCTGGCTCTGCGTGTTGTTGGCCATGGGATCGTCAGCACCTCCAACATACACGTTCAGGAAGGCATGTGGGATGGAAGTGGGGCCACGTGGGACTGGAGAGCTCTGCAGGCAGACTCCTGCGTCACAGGAGCCATGCCAGAGCCTTAGCTGCACAGTGCTGCTGTGCACAGCAACTTCGACTTTATGCCACTGGCCATCGTCCACTCTCAGCCCCTCCAGGAGCAGCTCATACCCAACGTCCTCCCTCTTCAGTGCTGCGTGCAGGATGCCCCCACAGAGCTCCAGGAACAAGTACTCAGCTTCGTGGCCTCGATAAAAAAGGATAGCGCTGGGCAAGGTGGTGCGGAAGCGGAGGGACACGCTGGCAAGCTGGCCTCCTGCTGCGTCCCTCCTGCTCTGATTGCTCACGGGCAGCTCAATGAGCAGATACCCTCTGGAAGCAAAGGAAAACGTTGTTGGTGTTGAGCATGTGGCATCATAGAAACCAGGCTGGCACTGGCACAGGTGGCCGTGGCTCTCAGCTTGGTAGGTTGGGATGCACAAGGCCTCATTTTGGCAGTCGTGCGTCTGGCACCCAGTGAGCTTGACAGAGCAGTTCTTCCCTCCCCATACAATGCCATCCTGGCTAGGGGCACAGTGGCAGGTATAGTCAGCAATGCCATCCTCACAGACAGCTCCATTCTTGCAGGGACCCTCCTCACACTCATTGATGTTAACAGCACACTCCACACCTGGAAAGAGATTCAGAAAGGGGATCTCACTGCAGGGGACTGTGACTCCCTTCCCCAGAGCCAGCCTGCCAGGCACAGACTGCCCTCCCCAGCACTGCTGCTCCCTGAGTCATCCTCTTCAGGAAACCACCAAAGGACCAGGAGCTGTCAGCAGGGAGCCCCACGCTCACTACAGAGTGCCCTAACACTGACACAGGAGCCCCGAAAACGGACTCCTGTGGGTGCTCTTTACAGAGCATCATCCAACAGACTCTGTCCTCCCTAGACAACCTCAAACACCACAGGCAACCAACGTGCAGAGGACATTACAGAGACAAAACAGCACAGACAAGGATTTTATGCTTCTTCCATAATAGATTTGGTATGCTGAAATTCAAGTTAAGCCTGTAGATCTGACCAGAGCATGTTTCATGCACCTCTGTTGTAGACAGCATTAGAATGGGAAACTATTGGGAAGCCTCAGGAAAATTCAAATTCCCAGATGACCCTCCTAGTTGTAAAATGCTCAGAAAACTCAATTCATTACTGAAGAATAAACAAAATGTGCTCCACAGGCACTTTGCCACACGTGCACTAAGCTGATTTCAGTTCTGTCCAGTCCTGCAGAAGTGAACTGGGTAAAAAGTCCTGTGCTGGCTCCTGGAGGCACACAGATCTCAACAGTACTCAAGTAAATTACAAGACATTACACTCAAATCTGGATAATGAAAATCTGCTGTCATTTTCCTGAGCATCTCCAGACTGACAGAAGAGCCCTTCTGTACCGGTTCATTTTATCTAGCCCATAACACTGGGTTTCACTAATCTTCAGAGACAGTCACACAGATAAACCAAGCACGGATTATCCCAACTAATAGCATTACACCCGAATCTAGCTAGCAAGCACAACCAGGACAGCAGAAAGAAAAAGAAGGAATCCACACACAAAGGAGAGGAATCAAAACACAAAAGACATTTGTAAAGAAAAGCCACCAGACAGAATGTGCATGTCAAAAAGATTAGAGAGTAGCCTGAGGGAAAGAGATGTGGGGAGATGGGGCATTAGGAGCACTGCAGCTGGACTTGATGTGTGATAAAATAAAAAAACAACCCTCAGCAAAGACACAGGCTGCTGGAATTTCTGCGTGGATGGCTTGTTCCCCTCCTGCCCCAGCAGTGCTCCCAGAGCCTCCACAAACGTACCCTGCTCCTAAGCAAGTCTCCCAGCTCTCCTGGGCCCGTGTTCTCTTGCTGTCCCAGGACCAGCCCTACAAGACAGGTGAGGCCCCAACACCAGCCCCCAGCTCCAAACCATGGGGCTGTGCCGGGGGGGGGGCGTAACACGGCTGGAGCTCTGAGCAGCACCAGAAGAGAGACAGAAGGATCTGGTAATTCTGCACTTTCCAGCTATGCTAGAGCTGTTCTGCAGGCAACATCATCTCGGCCTCCTCTAGGATACAGCTCTCTACTGATGTCAGCTAGGGGAGAACTGCTCTGTGTAGTGCCTGGGGACAAGCACAGAATTTGGCCAACGATGTCTGCCCTGAGGAAGCGCGCAGCTGAGGGGCAGATTCAGAGCTGCTAATGCTACCTCAGTGCAGCTTTTCTTCTCCAGCTATTAATGTTGGGCTTGCTCAGCACACAGCCTGGGGGTGATCTTACCCGTAAAGGAGGCAGCAAGGACAGAATTAAGATTTCAGCACGAAGCCAAGGAAGGAAATGTGTGGGAATAAATAGAGTATAATGGCATCTCTGGGTCTGGAGAAAGCCAGTCTGGGAGAAGATGGGAAGTCTTCAATTGGAATTAAGAAAAATCAGTAGAGGGGTAGAACTATGTGGGGAGGGGTTTCTGAGCTATCAGTGCATTGCAGGGCTCTCAAGACTGTAAGAGGCAGGTCTGCAGTCCAGTTTGAGCAGAGGGGCTGTTGAATGGTGTCAGAAAGAGGGATCTGGTATAGTCCCAAATCCTTAAAATGCTGCTCATTTCAGATCAGAGCTGCTGATATCTACCAGGACAATGAGGACAAGATAGCATTGGTTTGGATAACAAAAGGAAAGGTGAATTTTTGCATTTCTGGGAAGGGTGGGAGGCAAGGGGAGAGCCCCATTTTCCAGTATCACATTCCAGACCAGGTCTCTCCCCGTGGCACAGCAGCAGGAACAAACACCTGCCTCGGCTGTTTCCACCCCCAGCTGACACCTGCGGGGTGAGCGCTTCACTCCAGGAGGCAAATTAGTCCCTCGGGTGAGCGCACAACCCCGGGCTGGTGGCTAATTAAACAGCGAGCTTTCCCAGGGGACACAGCTCCTTTGATTTCTTCAGTTATTTGTTTGAAATGGGTGAAAAGAATACGCTGACATTTCAGGTCCTTACACACTGCTGTGTAACCTCACAGCTTACAAAGAGGCAAAGGAAACGTTCGGCAGCAGAAAGAGGGAGGGCAGCTCTTCCCAGAGGAACCAAACCCACCAGCATCACCCTCACCACTGTCGCTGTTCCTGCCGGCAGAGGGGCAGCCCTCACAGGACTAAAGCAGGAGTGGGACAGGGCCCCTAAACCACCCCCGAGGTACTCCTGCCCTCCTAGCAGCCAGTGAAATGACCGATTTTAACTTGGAGCCTTTTTTAACCTGATAACAGAGGAGACGGCGCAAGAGTTCTAAAAATCTGGCTCATGAATTTTTGCCTGGAAGCCAACATCACCCCCAGCTAACTCCTCACGTGCCTCCTGCTGAGATACCCTCACCGGCCAGCTCTCCTGCCCTCTCTCCTCCTCCATTAGTACCAGTGACTCTTGTCACTGTGTTTGAACACCTCTGGTTTGTCAGATCCTTCAGTTACACCAAAATGAGGCAGAGGAAGGAGATTTCTGTCACATATTGCTTCCCAGGTGTTCATTTCAGTGCAGCAGAGGGGTTTGTAATTCGGGGTTTTGGCTGCAGATGACAGAGTGTAAATGAACAAGGTGATGCCAGCAAAATGAAGGAATTTTCCCTACTTCAGAATAAGAAAGATTTTTGCTGTAGACCATTACAGAAAAAAATAAAAGGGGGGATGACTCCATTTGATAAAAACAACTTATGTAGCTGCCTCTGTTCCCTCTAAACTTCTTAGCTCAGATGTTTACTATTGTTTGAACATATGTAACACAGAGTAATGTTGCCAGTCTGACTCATTACATCATTAGGAGACTAAGATGTTCAAGGAGTTTCTTATCTAGTTAAAGACTAACAAATGCAACCAGTAGAACTTGTTATCTGAAAATCTGACAAGTGCTATTTAAAAGGATGCTGCTATCTGGAGACAAGTATTTTCAAACATTCAGTTAATTTAGCAGTTTTTAAGCCACAGTCCCAAGCTAACAACCCATAGGGGCTGCAGCCTACAGCAGTTGCAAATACAAACCTATTCACTAGGTTCTAAAGTGTTGCCAATGTGGTGAGAACAGTCTTGTTTCACAGATGCAAATGTTACTGGAATCCATGCAGTTCACCATTCCCTGAAGGAAAGTAACGATTTACTCACTGCTATTAATAATCAAAGATTAATTGTATACAGTGTAAAAATCATATACTTCAACAGATACATAATATGTTAAAATAAGAAACACACAGAAAGAGAGATATTCTAATTTAGCTGTCATATACAAAAAAAACAACTTGAAGGACAAGGTCTATTCATCCCAGTCTCGAAATATGTGAGTTCAGTGGGGCTCCCTGCCCAGCCCCAGCTTGCCCTCTCCGGTAAGACAGCTGAATTCCCAGCAACCTCTCCCTGGTGCATCCTAATTAGGGTTTGTATTAGTATTATCAAAAGAAAAAAGGAGGGGAGGGAATGAGTGGGGGGAGAGAGAATTAGCCGCAGCAAATGGACCCCGACACAATTATATTTGCACAATTACTGCCATTTCCATGGCAACACACTGCTTTGACCTCTCTCCCACCGTGCACTACTCCTTGAGGAGCCGGTGGGGGAGGAGCCGGAGAAGCGCACAGGCCGGCAGAGGGTTCGTCCTGCGAGCTGAAACAAAAACTACTTCTCAATAGAGGAGTTTTAAATCATCAAAGAAAAAAGGCAAGTTGCGAGAACATCCGTAAAAAGCAAACCTAACGTCTCCCAGAAGTGCCGGGCAGCCAGCTGCGTGTGTGCCGGGACGCCGTACCACGGGACAGCCCGGGACAGCCCCAGGACAACCCGGGAACAGCCCCAGGACAACCCCAGGACAGACCGGGGCAGCCCCAGGACACCCCGGGACACCCCGGGGACAGCCCCGGCAGAGGGGCACACGCAGCCTGCGGCCAGCTCCGCGCTCAGCCTGCGGCAGCCAGGACATTCCTCGCCCTAAAGTTTGCAAAACAAAACTTCAGGTCTCTCCAAAACAAAAACGTTCTTCCTTTCCAGCCAGCCCTGGCTCCTGCTCGTGCCTCCAGCCCGCCAGTCGCACCGCCAGCTCCTGCCCCGGGCATCACCCCAACCCTCCGGCCACGCTGCAGCCACTGCACAGCTCTCGTTACCTGCCAGCAGGAAAACTCCCCTCAGGATCACGCCAATCAGCACAGGTCTCATGGCCGACTCCTTGTGGACATTTGTGACAGTAAAGGGGAAAAAAAATGGGGGTGAAGGAGGGGGGGGATGACAAAAAAAGGCCGGGCTGAAGCGGCAGAACGTGTGCAAGCGCTCCCTGATGCCAGCCAGCCAAACGGGGATTGGAGATGGAAGCAGCCAATATAGCAGAGCCCTGCGCTGGGGCAGATCTAATCCAGCCCTGCTCCAGCCCTCCCAGCTGGCCTCTCTCAGCGCTGACATGAAGAATGTGTGCTCCAGCACAGCCCCGACACAGAAACACCCTGCAGGAGCCACAGCCTGAGCTCCACCAGTACCGAGTCCAGAGACAACCTCGTGCCCTTGCCACCTCCCGGGTGAATCTGCCAAATTCCACAAATAAGGCCAAAATATGGATTTTTTTTTTTTTTTTTTTTTAACAGGCTAAGCCAAAAAGCTGCATTTCCACCACTGTGTAACACCCAAACCAAACAGGGAGAGTTGTAAATGCAGAGGACAACCTGGGCCCTGCTGTACGTTCAATACTGACTCAACTGGGGACCAGCACCTCACGTCGTTTCCTTCCTCTGCGTGCCCAGTTCTGTGCATTTGTGAGTACAAGCATTTCCATTCTCCAGTACTAATGAAGAAAATTCTCAAGTTTTAACTGCCATGATCTGCTTCTCTGGAGTCAAACTGAACAGAAGGAAATTCCCTGCATTATGCTGACTGCACTGGTTCAACATGGGACTGCAGAATCAAAATGCTCTCCTTCCTTATTAGAATCCTTATAAAATTAGCTGTTGCAATCTCTTTTTTTTGTTTTGTTTTGTTTTGTTTTGTTTTGCTGTGGTTAGGGGGAAAGGGAGTTTGAAAAAAGTTTGAAATTACTTTCATGTTGTAAAGTTCCTGGTGGCAGAACTGTACTTTCATGTTGCAAGGAGCCCAGAGAAGGTTCTTATTTCCATGAAGAAACGTTATCTGGGAGCTTTGCCCCAAACTTGGGAGTCTCTGTTAGGATCAATGTCAGGTCCAAGCAAACAAAAACTCCCATGTCAGACTCCAGAATCTGCACGAGCAGTATCACTTCAAGATATTAAAAGAAAGCATTCCAACCACTCTTGTAGCGATTTTATTTTCTTCAGTTCACTCAATCTAAACATGCCAGTCTGTTTTACAGATATTTTAAGCTGGAGGGATATGGTGTTTGTTTGGAGCCCAAACTCCTGAAACAGTCCTGCCTGGGTCCTATGCACACACAGACCCAGCACAGATTTTAGATACTATCCATATCAGCTGTTATTGTTCAAGAGAAAACAAACGGGTCGCTTGTGCCCCTTCAACCGCCTGCTGCAACAGTGCAGTGTAACAACTGTGAAGACTGGAGCAGGTTAAATCCCTGCAGAAGGGAGAAGCAGCATGGAACAGAATGGAAGGGGAGCAGAGGGGGGTCTCACATGTGTTCCCTAGCTCCCTTCAGCTATATTTACCGAAAGGGATTCTGTTGAAGGGGTAACAGTCCTCTAATCTCTTTACTAGCTTAGCCTTTTAGCTGCCCTTTCTATAGAGGCTACATCTCTAAAACAAATCTGACATCAAGAAATAGCAGCACAGAAAAATTAAATCTATCTGAAGGTGGTTAGAAGGAAGAGGCACCTCTCAAGACCTGCAGCCCAGGAACTCACATGTGTTTGGTCTGGGCTAGCACAGAGGTACAGAGTAACCCTTTATAGCTACACAGAAGGCAGCCTACTTCTTTAAAGACGATTGACAAAGACATTATGGCTGACCAGTGCTCTCAAATTACAGTGAGACACATTCACAATCACAATCCCTCCCCAACCGACCACCACAGCACCTTCTGAATTCTCAGGGAAGCAGAAGCATTACTCAGCCACTGCAAAGAGCTCAGGATGTCACCACCATCAGCAGGTGCCTCTGCCAAGGGGTGCCCGTGGCTGCAGTGCCCCTCACCAGGCTGACCCAGGCCACAGCACTGTAGTTTAGGACACTGTCTTTCTGAAGACAGCTTTAGCAGCCATGGAAATACAAGTGGGAGTGCTCAGGCCAAAACTTTCTTTAAAAGTTTTTGAAGAATGAATGAGTCAAATTCCACTTAAGTGGTTACTCTCTTGCAAGTTACAACTGGGTTCCCATTCCAAATGGAGGTACCTGGTTTTTCCATGTCCTGGTGTAACCTCCTGCCTAGTACATATGTGATGGACTGAAACCATTCCTATGAATAAATAATTAATTTTGTGGGTTTTGTTTGTTTTTGTTTTTTTTTTTCCCCTAAAAAACAGACTTTTCCTAATATGCTTTTTCTCTTGACCACAGTTGCCAGAATTTCCAAGACCATGCAAGATTCATTCTCTTTGTCACTTCATTTAGTATCTGTGCAATCTTTAGACTCATATTTGTTACAACCTCTTCTAAAGCACAAGCTGACCCCCTGAACAGACTTTTCAGGGCCTATGGTGCAGTTCTCTGAGGAATGAGGCACTGCTTTTGCAACAACCACATTTCAGAGAGCTGGCTCATCTCCCTGCACTGCTGTAGCCTGAGACAGCACTGAGGCAGTTAATTTGCAAAGAAAGAATTTCTCCTGACTCACATTGTTATCCCAACACTCCCCAAATTCCTCAGACTGAAATTAAAAAAAAAAAAAAAAAATACAGAAAGAACCCCTGCTGCCCTAAGAAAGCATTCTTCATCCGAGTAGCAAGTTCATTTTAATCAGCAGAGGCAGCTTAAACCCAAGTTCATGGCAGATCTAAGCTGCTACAGAAATGTGTTTTGAACAGAAACATTATGGGAAGCTTCACAAAGTTGTTCTGTGATCCTAATATGAAGTAATAAGCTGTTTACCCAGCATGACTGTACTGGGATTAATTGACAAAGGAGGGGAGATTAATTGCTATTATTTCCCTGTCAGCTTCACTCCTCCACACACACTCACTGATCTCACAGACTGCTCCCAGCCTTTCACTGTGTTAATGTGTCAGAACTACCTCAGCTGAGACAAAGTCCTTTACCAAAAGCAATATCCAGAAGAGCAACCTGCTTCTAATCCACCTCAAGTACTAATGAACCCAAATTTGATGCAGCAGAATGAACTCTAGCACTCCTTTGCCCATCATCCTGTGTTTCTGTCAGCTTTTCTGCCCATGAGCACGCTAAGAATTGGAAAGGATTAAACAGATCTACAGTTTGGCAAAGCACAACGAAATTCTGAACTCTGTGAGGGTGCTGGGGCACTGAGGGAGGAGAAGGGAAGGAGGCACATATGTGCGTGGGAATTCTGACAAGCAGGAGAAACTTTAAACCATCTCTTTGGACAAGATCTCTGTTATCAGTACACCATTGTAACCACCCAAGGAAGTGGCAATAAGACCTTAGATAAAAGCCTGTCTTCAAAGACCTCACCTACAAAAGCAAATTCTTCTTGGCCTAGCCTAAATTAGGAATACAAAGCAAAGGAGATAGGCTGGAAACCACCCCCAAGATTTCAGTTCAGTTACAGAAGGTGTTAACTAGGAGTTGATTTTGGTTCTGGGAGTTGAAGTACCTGTGTAATGGGTCTTCCCCGGCAAGAGCTGCACAGTTACACCAACAGAGCTCAACCGCTATGACCACAGAAGGGAAACAAAACTTTCCATGCAGTAAAGGCCAAAGACAGTCTCCGGAATGCTGCTACCTGCTGTTGCAAGAAGTTAAAGGGACAAGGCTTTCTTTTGGCTTCAGGTTTTTCTTCTTCCCACGAGATGGCAGCCTAGTAACACTGCGGAAAAGGTACAACCACCTCGGAAACGTGAAATACAAGCTTGTGCTGGGGACGGCTCCTCTTTGGTGTCAAGTTGCTCAAAACAGAGTACACAAGGAATTTAAAGACGTAGAAGACTGAGAACAAACGTGGTTTAGGATCAGTTAGCAGTGTACCTTCCTGACAGAGTTGATGTGCAATATTCACTACCCCTAGTTTCTAAGCTAGAAAATTGAGACCCGTTAGGGTCAGGCAGGGCATTTGTGTAAGAATCCAGACACACCATTCCCTTGTAAACAGAGAAGGCTTCGTTTGCTCACACCACAAAGACCTTCTGACCTCCTCACACAGCAGATTACTGCCTTCAGCCAGAGATTGCTGACTCTTATCATCCAGGGGTGTTAGGGAATGGAGATGTTTTACAGATGGCTTATGTGCTGGTAAGCCTGTCTGCTACAGGCAGTAGCTTGTGACAACTAGAATCTTAAGCACCCTGTTTTTATTTGAAGGCTGGTTTTGTTCACCTTCATAGTATGTGTCTAAAAGAACTCCCACAGTTCCTCCAGTGAACTTTCACTCCAGGACACAGATCTCCTAGATATACTGGTCCAGATTCTTCTACACAGTTGATCTTCTGTCTCAAAATCTAATTCACAGCCTGTATCAAGTTCCCTGACCAAAATCACATAGTGTTCCCATGGCATTTGAGCCCTGAACTGCAGACATCCAGCTGCACTACTGCCACAGTCCCCACGGTGCACCTCAGCCCTGCAGTAATGCAGCAGGATGGGATCCCAGCCCCCTCCCCAGCGTTACCTGAATAACCTGCTGGGCAGTGACAAAGGAAGCCGTTGGTGAGGTCCACGCAGAGCCCTCCGTTCTGACAGGGCTGGGACTCACACTCGTCAATGTTGGTAACACAGGTCTCCCCTGGGAAGCAAAACCACAAACACCCACCTTAATGCACATCCTGTCAGTGAAGGAAAGAACCTGAATGACACCTATGTTTTTGCACTTCTTTTTTGTCATCTTCTTGAACTATAGCACATGTCTCCAGACACTCTGGCAAAACAAATACTATCACTGAAACAGGGGAAATGAAGTGCAGGAAGGTCAAATGATTTTCCAGTGTCATGAAAGTGAGTAGTGTCAGCATTAGAACCTTCTGAACCATTCCCACCTGTGCAGTAGTGGACCAAACTCTCATTTTTTTCTCAAAAAAGAATGAACTATTATTGAGCCCCTCCTATGAGGGAATCTCCCCAGCTGTTAAATCCAGCCTTTTTTACACATCTATAAACCAGGGAAAGGGTGATATTTCAGCTGAACATCCACAGAGCTTCTAGCTCCGAGACAGATATCAAGAACTCCCCCTCCTCCTACCCACTCTGATTATAGGGTTGCTGTCATGAGAATAGTTTCATCAAGGAAACACCTAGGATAGTTATGTGGGATTCTAGGGAATTAGTTTCCTCTGAAAAGGAGTTTCACAGATACCCTGTAGGGATGAATTCTCCCATATGTATGAGAGACTGACAAAGAGAAATCACCTTGGCATCTGCATAGCCAGAGGGCATTCATTAAAGCACTTGGAAAGTGCAGAGGCTGGTGCCTCAGCCCTGGGACAGGCTTGCTGGACAGAGAATGACAGTCAGGCAGCTGCCTGCAGGGTATTCTTAGGGTCTGTGAACAGAAGCACGTTCCTGATGCACCAGGCTGCTGCCCCCTCTGAAGTTCCAGCGATTTTTGTTGCACAGGTAACATTGCCCAGTTCCTGTCTACTCAAACCACGCAGCAGCTACTAGGTGCAGGCAGGATGACCAGTTCCTGCATAGCTCACCTGTAAAGCCTGGCTGGCACCAACAGAGGAAACCAGCTGCTTGGCTGTAGCTGAAGTTACTGGGGAAGTCCGGGCGTGTTCCGTAGTGGGCTGGGTGGGAGCGCTGGTAGCAGAGCCCTCCGTTGTGACAGGGAGCTGCTGCACACTCATCCTCATCCTCCTCACAGTGCTGCCCCGTGTAACCTGCCAGACACAGCGTCAACAGCACGCACAGCTTCACTGAACCAGTCCCCCAAAGGCTGTGGCTGCCTTGCAGGGGAGAGTAAGACCCAGAAGACACTGCAGCTGGTCTAGCAGGCAGTGCCAGGCTCCTCTGCTTTCTCCACCATGCCCAATGCAGGAGGCAAATAATCAGTTTGCAGGAAAGCATTACTTCATGAGAGAAAAACACATGAAGGAAAAGGCAGAAAAGAGAAAGACAATTTTATGGTTGAGAAACAGGTCAACTGAACCTTGGGATGGCCTGCAAAGGGCAGCAGTGGCAGCCTGACTGTTTCAAACGACAAAAAAATCCCACAGGACCATGCAGTACAATCATTAATTCTTTACTTCTCCAACACAGCACGTTAGCCTGTGCTCTCCATCACTGGGTATCCACATGCCAGCATAGCAAAACAGATTTCTAACCTACCTGGCCAGCAGGCACAGCTGTAGCTTTTGATCCCCTCCACACACGTGGCATTGTTCAGACAGGGCTGAGAGGCACACTCCAGGATGTCCAGCTCACAGTGGTCCCCCTCGAAGCCTGTCTCACTGCAGTCACAATGGTAGCTGTGGGGCAGCAAAACAGAGCAATGTGTGAACTCTTAATTTGACTGCAAAGCCCAGTATGAGGAGAGATCAAACACAGCTAAGCTGTCAGTCCTCACACCCACTGATGGGGTAGAGGAAAAAGGCAGTTCCATCTGCACAGACATGCCAGGCTGGTGACAGAGCAGACAGCCCTCAGCACTCTCTGAGTTCATGCATTACCTGTGAAAAGGTGAATTCAGACACACAGGTACGTCCTCAGCAGTTGCCTTTGCTGTTCATGTTCTGCAAGCCACTTCCCTTTGTAGCTGATATGTCAGCTGGAAGCAGTAACAGGAATCTTTTCCTGGTGCTCTTTATGCATCCTAGGAGTTCTGCTATTGGGAGGGGCCCTCTCACTGCCATAAATCACTCTCAGTTACTGTCACTGGGACCACTGGGATGTACATTTAAGTAAATCTAACATCCCCACCCCCAGTTTCTACTCAGATTTTCACAGGTTACACTAAGTAGACCCTTAGATCAGTCCTGTTATCTAATTGCCCAAACATCCCCAATTTCTCACCCGTTAATGAGGTCATGACACGTCCCATTGTGCTGGCATGGTTGGCTCTCACATTCATCGATGTCTTCCTCACAGTGGATCCCTTGGTAACCTGGTGCACAGGTGCAGGTGTAGAACCCAACGTGATCATGGCACAAGGCCCCATTCTGGCAAGGGTCTGAAGCACATTCATCTATTTCAGCATCACAGTTCACACCTTTGTTACAAAACAGAGAAATATCTGTGTTACAAATCCAGAAACGTATAGCTGTGCTGCCTGGGCTTCTGAGCTGGAATCATAAAAACCATGTTATCAACCCAAACTGGCTAGCAGAGTGATCTGTTCTGATTTTGCCATTGGAAGGCTATGAACCTTACATGATCACATGATTCTTACAAATTAGAACCTTTGATTTTTGTTTGCAAACAAAATTATTTTGTCTAGACTTTTAGATTTTAGCCTTCTATCAAAATTAGAAATAGTTTCCAGTATTTGTAAAACTTTAGCCTCATTCATTCAGGTTTGCTTAAGTAGCCAATCTGTCAGCACTTCACAAATATCATCCATTTGCTGAGGAAGAGGGAAAATCTTTATCTTACATACAGTTCTTAAAAATCTAATAGCTGTTTAGGTTTGGGATCCTGTGTGGGCAGGGAGGACAGGGATGGGCAGAGAAGAATCATGCTGCTAGTCAGTGTTATTTAAACTTCTATATATGATATAGCTCTTACAGTTTTAGTTAGACATGGTACTCTTCACTTGTGTTGCGTTGCTATTAATCAGATCCAGTGTTCTACATCAGAGGCAGCTGCATTTTGTGTATGGGAAAAGTGATCTCTACCTGCTGCTCCAAAACATTGTTCCATTTGTTTAAATAATATTTGGAACTTGCTTTGAGTTACCTAGGAAAACAGCATTAAAGCAGTGCAAAACTCTAATTACAGTGACACTAGATAGTAGTAAGTAATTTTATTACAAAATGCTATTAAAAATTAATGGTTAGCTCCAATGCTATTAGTCAAGAATAACAGTAAGTCATGTATTTTTGGTCCAAAGTTTCAGCTTTCCCTGGCAGAACTAGCCCTCTTGTGCAACTTCCATGCAACTACTTTCCCATACTATGTTCCATCTCTGTGAGCTGTCCATGGCCTGGCATCACCTCCAAACCTTAGTCACTAGAGTGGCACCTGCCAATCCATCTAATCTGCCCTTCTTGGCAAATGCTGACCACAGAGTGCCCATGGCCATCCTAATCCTGATGGAATGTGGGCCCCCTAATCTGCTGGTTCAAACCCGTCAATACCCACACAAAACTTCCTTCACCCAAATTCCAGCTGCCAGTGCCAGGAAACAACCCAGCCTTGCTAGCCAAAGGTGCTCGAACCTCTGGATGAAGCACTGGATCACAAAGCAAAGCCTCATATTTGGCATCAGAATAACTTGGAGCACAACAAACTCCTCCAGCTTCTTGGGTCATTTTATCACTTCCTTGACAGGGGAATCTCACAATCCCAAACTGAGACTTCAGCATAAAGATAAAAAAGACACTCATTTACAAAGACAGAATTATGCTTGATACTCAAAATCAGTAGCAAAACCTAAGGCCTACACAGAAATTCTGCTCTTTTCCTCCTTCATCTCTGTCCATTTTTATCAGAGTGAGTCAGCATCAGGGACTGCATTCCTGATGTTGTAACTTCTCCTCATTCCACTGGTAATCAGCAGCATTCCTTCACAGCAACCTAACTCTTCAAACACTTCAGACTGTGACAACGAGGGAGGCTGAGAAAGTTCACGTGCTAGGTGGTACCAGGCAGCCATGGGTGCAGTGCAGCTGCATTCCACACTGATAAGCACGGCTGCTGAAAGCAGAACCCTCTCCCACCACCTCCCTCAAGAGACCCCTCCCACCACCTCCCTCACAGATAACTCGCAGGTGTAGATTACTCTGAGTCACCATTAGCACAGATGCACCAAAAAAGAGATATTTCTGTCACATGCCAAAAAACATCCGCCACGTGTGAGAGAACTGGAAAAGGAATCTCCAGCTGAAAGCCACTTTCCTCCAAAGACTGCTTCCCTCAGGGAACTCCTGCAGGACAAAGAACTGCAGGCCAGGGAGGCAGAGCTAAGTTGTACCTGAAAACCCAACGTATGCACTTCCTGGCACTAAACCCCTTTCCTCGTGTATTTCCTGTGATTTCACACTGACAGCTAATCACACCTACCTTGTAGCTAGTGCTCAAGTCTCAGACAGCCCACCCGTTTCCACCCTCAGATCCATGTCTCTCAACATCCACACCACACCCCCCCCCCCCATGGAAGCCAAGCCTCGAGGGCTGCCTGGACGCCCCGAGCCCTGCACGGGGACTCACACAGGGGAGCAAACGCTCCGGAAACACGAGCTGTGCAGGAGGGGTCCAGTCTCCTGGCTGTGGGGCGGGAGCTGCCCGGGACAGGCCCCGCCAGAGGGCGGCGCCACGCGAGCGGGACGGGACCCAGCACCCGAGGGGAGCGGTACCTGTGTAGCCGGGGGCGCACTCGCACACATAGCGATCCATCTCATTCAGGCAGGTGCCATTGTTCCTACAGGGCCGGGACGCACACTCGTTGATGTCTATCTCACAGTTGTATCCTTGGAAGCCCGGCACACAGAAACAGCCATACCCATCCACCCTGTCCCGGCAGATGGCTCCGTTCTGGCAGGGCTTCGAGGCGCACTCATCAATGTTGTCTCTGCAGTTGGCCCCGGTGAAGCCAGGCTGGCAGACGCAGGTATAGTCCCCAGGACCCTCGACACACGTCCCGTTATTTAGGCAGGGGTGGCTAGAGCACACAGAGCTTTCTGTTTGGCAGCCTTCTCCATTCAGTCCTGTTTGGCATTTACAGGTGTAGCCATTTACACTATCTACACATTCAAAACGAGGGTCTTTACAGGGGTTGCTCTCACACTCATTAACATTAACGGTACAATCAATACCTGTGAAGCCAGGCATACAGACGCACTCATATTCCAGGAGTCCTGGAGTCCCGACACAAATCCCATGGGCAGGACACTTGTGTTCACTGCACGCGTCATAGAGCGCGTCACAGTTCGTGCCGCTGTAGGCTACGGGTGCCACGGGGCAGATGCACTCGTAGCCCTCTTCCAGATCTTTACAGGTCCCACCGTTTTGGCATGGGGACGAGGAACAGCCACCATCATTTTCAGAGTATGAAGTTCCTGTTGAGAAAAGAGACTTTTTGTTAGTTGGCATTCATAGCCCTGGGAAATATATAGGAAAGCTCTTCCACCAGTCTCCACATACAGTTCAGAGACTGCCCACCTAAATTCCACACCACAAAGGACTGTTGTAGCCAATGACTTATCTATGAAAAATGGCCACAAAGCAGAGGTACAGCTCATGAGATAGCAAATGGCATCTGAGACATAGCTACGGCTTCTGGTGAGACAATCCTGCCTTTGCCTAGCACAGAAGCCAGGCAATCACCAGCACATAACCTTGGGTTTAGATGCCTCTGTGTAAGCACCTCTCTGCCCTTATTGCTGCCTTCTGTACCGTGGGCCAGCTCGCAACAGGAATCTGTCTCTGAGAAGCTCCACAGAACTGCAGGTGGAGTGCAGGCAGCTCCTCTGACACTGCCACATCACCATCCCTGGCCCTCACAGCGTTACTGAGAGCTGAGGAACCTCTCACGTGCCAAGCTCCATGCTAAGGATCTGCCAGGATCGCACCCCACAGCATCACTTCTCAGCTGACCTTACACATTCTCTCATTCGTGCCATCATTATCCCAGCCCATTTTTGGTCATTTCTGCCTTGCTCCAGTGCGCCTTCTACACACCCTGTAGTTAATCTGTGTCAGTGGTTTTCTGTCAACTCACAGCCCCATCAGCTCCTCAGTCTCTTTGTACCTGGAGGTGGAGGCATCCGACTTCAGGGCCTGAAAGGGATTTATAGTGGACTTCGGTTCACAAAAGCCTGCCCCTGCCCTGACCTCCCCCATATTCCTCCCACCAAAAGACCATAGTGTTTCTAAGTCTTCTTTGAAGAGGCAGTGTTGATGGGGGGGAGGGTGCTCAGGGATTTAGACAACCCTTTCTCTTCCCAGCATCATCCCTACGCCCACCCCTCCCTTCCTCTCTCATGTGACGCTGGGGAGAGCTGCTGAGCATTGCACTGTCCAGCAATCCCATTATTCTGCCATCAACCCTTTTATTCTCACATTCCCAGTCAGGCAGAAAACAAGGATGACGGAATCTGCCTGGAATCTCTGTGGCAATTAAGAGTGGGAACCCAGGAAACTATTCGTAAAAGAGCTTTACTAGGCAGGAGACATGAGCCTTTGTACACTTAATGAGTACCCAGCCCCAGCCTGTGCTTTCCACAGGCCAGGAGCACAGTCTATGATAAAAAAAAAAAAAACAAGAGACCAGATCTACTGCATGTTCAGGACTCCTCTGATTTGCAGCAGACTCCATCTGCAAAGAAATTCCCATTTCAACAGAATCACCAAGCACTGCTAGTGTAGATGGGCCAAAGCCATTTCAAAGGCTTTGTGCTTAGTTTTCTGCTTTCATTATAAGTAGACAGTATAAATGCTTCTTGCAGATAAACATCAAATCCCTTTGCGATTTCCTGTCTGCTCCAACACTCCCTCACAGCAGACATACCTTTTTGTACCTTCTGTTTTGGTTCATCACATGACTGCAGTGCTCAATAATCTGTATTAGTCATTAATGCCTGTCCATTACAAAAAGGTTTGGTGATAAATACATGGCCCTGTAGTCACACATGAACTTGAGGACACATAGTATTAGCAGAACTCCAACCACCTCTAAACTCCCTCTGATCACCAACAGTGTCAGTGGTTAACTAGTTACATGTACTCATCATCTGTGGTAACTAGTTATGTACAGGGCTGCACAGAGAACAGCTGAATTCCTGCACTGTTACTGCATTAGCTTTAGCTACTTTCTATGACCAAATGTTACCTTAGTTACGTCTAAAAATGATGCCTTCAGCAGGCCTGCATTTTGGAGGAAAAGGTTTCTTTTTTGGAACAAAGATCCTGAAGTAACACAGCATTGCTCCTAAGGCATGCACAGAGCAGGCTGAGAAGAGTGCAGTGTGAATCACAAGAAGTGAAACAATACTTAAATAACTTCAAAGTATTCTGTGAAATGCAGGGTGCAGAAAATTACTCACGTGTTTGCCCTACTCAGCAGAGGTCACAGGCGTCTTAACAACATGAGCTCCAAGATTATATCACAAACTCCCCTGTCCACAGCAAGCCGATACTAACACTGGAATATTAGAGAAGGACAAAGCTGCCCGTGTGTAAACACAGTGTAAGCCTGATGGCCCTTCAGTGGCAGTGCTGAACTTCTGGCTAAATCAGCCCACAGAGGAGACACTACTTGAAAACAGAATTTGCTGCAGAGTGATGTCAGAAGGGAGATTTCAGCAGTGGGAAGTGAGTACAACACCTGCGACGTCACCAGGAAGTTAAAAGCAGAATCTAAGAACTCAGTGTACAAAGTGGGTCTCACAGGCCTAGGCCACCACCCAGCTGGAGAGAGGACACACAGGACATTCTCACCTCTGCGCTTGTTATGTTCAACCATCAGTCCTAGGGCATTCAAAAAAATTCCTCTCAGTTTTAGAACAGATTATTATAAGAATTTGAACAGCATATGAATATGCACCAAATGCTAATAAGCATAAAGAATACATTAACTTTTCCTGCTGCACAATATACCATGAAAACATGTAATTCAAAGTAGGTTGTTTCATGAAAACAGTGTCAAAGAAGTCACTGAATGACAAGAGTTTGTAAGTTTCCACAGAAGTAGCTGTGCTGCATGAAGGACAACAGTCAGGATTTTTCCTTGACGTTTCACAAGAAGAATATGAGTCAGTGATGTTTGTAAGTGGAAAAAACACTAAAAATACATTACAGTCATGCCATCCTGCAATTCTCCTCCAAAATGAAACTGGAGAAGACTACAGTTTCTTTGAAGAACACAGTCCAGGCATTTAGGAGTGGATTAGGAGGAACTTCAAAGGCTAACAGAGTCCCATATAAAGCGTTCACTGAGCTCTGTCAGGACAGGTCTGGTTTTACACTTTAAAGGGAGCTGACAAAGACTTTTCCTAGAAGATGAGGTTTGTGACCTTTTGTATTACTTTAAGGCAAGCAAGTTGCACTATCAGGCTTTTGTCTAAACTGGCTTTAATAATTTTATACTTTATACCTTTACTAAGTGACCCTGTCAAAGGGCAGTTGCAACAGTGAGTTTTCTAGTCATAAAAAGAGAAAACAGGAGTGAGATGCTGGGCAATCTGAGATGCCCTGGCAGCAGTTCCATGTCTCTCTCCCAAAGAATCCTGAGGAATCTCTTACTTCAGCAAACTGAGGCAAGATGCTGTTGCACTGCACTGGCAGAGAGTTGTGGGAACTGATAAAGACAGTGTGGGAGGAGGTTCTCAGCTGTAGCAAGGTTTCTGTCTTTTTTTAAAAAACAAAACAACACAAAACAAACCAACCAACCTCCTCAACTTTGTCTGTTCTCCATTATCTCACACGTGTTGTGAAACCCCAGTGCTAATTTCCCCCACAACAGGAGTTGCACTGAAGTAACTTCTTTCAGAGCCTCCCCTCTCCATCCTGACATTGTGCTAGCACTGCTGGAGAAGGTTTAATAAAGACCAATTGTGAATTGCTAAGATAATACACAGGACAAGGAGCTTCAGTCATTTTATTTCACTGCTTGTGAGATGCTGCTCTAGCATTACTCACTGGCTTCCATCTTTTGGGTTTTGCTTTTCACAAGTTTGCTTTTTCAAAGTCTTGGGAAGCTGTGATAGAGGCTGGGTGCCCTCAAGCTGGGGATCCCCCTGACCTCATGGAAGATACTCAGCAGTGACCACCTTAAAGGTGCTCTTGATGGTCACTTAAAATTTCAACAGAGAAGTTTCAGCAAGTAGCAGCACTGGGGTCATCAGCCCAGAGATCAACTTGTTTCTGTCATACTGAAGGACAACTTTGACAACTAATTAATGTGGGACTTTAAAATGATATTTAATGTAATTCCAATGGAACAATATAAGAAGTAGGCTCTAGAGTGGCACCGGACCTCAGTCTGTACCCAGACTAGTTATGGGAACATTAATAATAAAAGGAATAGTGTGTTTCCTGTCTTTGGGTCAGTCAAAAGCAGGGCTTTCTGAGACAACAGGATGACAAACAGATGAACATCAAGTCTGCATATGAGAATATAACCTGTAACTTTTCTCATCCCTTCAGCTTCTCTCTCCCAGAAAATCAGCACAATCAGCACAATTCACATTACCCACAGTCCAGTTTTAAAAAATGACAGAAGAGCAGAGGATGTAGAACACCAGACTGAAGCTGCAATGCTTTTAAGGTGTAACCACACTACACATATGCCCAACAGTGCTTCCCCGTGGCATGAACTGAGTGGAGTTAAGGGGACGTGCACTCTGCTCCTCAGGAAGCTGCCACAGGGAGGGACTCCCAGTCAGAAAAGAGCTCACATGCTGCAGCTCCTAGTGTAGCACTTTTGTTTTGTGTTAAGCAAGTTGCAACAGGCAGGACTCTGCCATATTCTCCTCTTGTTTTACTGCTACACGTTGGGAAAAGACTATTATGACTATTTTTGTATGTTTCCACAATTGACTCTGTCCTGATGAATTAAGTACCTTTTGTGCCTGGATTTGTTACTGAGCTCCTTGACTTCCGTGCTATTTCAGATCTTGCTCCCTATGACTAACCCCTTTTGCAAAAGGGCACTGCAGGCTTGTGGAGAAAGACACTTCCTTCAGTTGTATTTCACCTGCCCTACTCACTACAACTGGAAAAAAGAATTCACAAGCCAGAGGTGAGAACAGGAGGTGAGAAAAGGAGGCTTCCCAGCAGCAGCCTCCAGTGGCAGCGCAGTAGTCACTGAGCTGGAGGAATCCTGAAGTTCCTAAACCACAGATGCTCCAAAGCCATGCTGCTCCTGGTCACCCCAGCACATTTCCAGCTAGAGAAAGATCCTGAGGCCAAGGGTAGAAAGGGAACCCCTCAGACCCAAGTATCAGAGTAACACAACTACAAAATGAACTCTGAATAAAGGACCCGAGAGTTCTGTTTCCAAGACAACAGGAAGGCATGTGCTTATATTAGTAAATCCCTGCTGACCTCTGCTGATCTTTCCATACCCTGGTCGGTGTAGAGGATTAGTGACAGGGTACACACCATGGCCTGTTCCCAGGATCCACACACCAGGAAGACTGGACAGGCCTGAAAAGGGGCTTGCATGCTGTTCACCTTCTCTCCTCCCCACCCTTGCTACTCTGGAAGGATGGCATATCTGCTATGGAAGTTAAGGGCAGAATAAAACCAAACCCTTCTTTGGGAAGTACCTTCAGTGCACTTGTCCTGGGAGTGTACAAGGCCTCTTCAGGTGGCTCTATGCATCCTAGGGCTTTACAAGCCCCATCTCCTCCTTGACACAGAGAGACTAAACCCATTCTTTCCAAACCTGAGCAAAGCACCTGCTCCTAGTAATACCTGCATTGGAAAACAAGGCCCTGAAATTCTCTGACACTAATGACAAGCTCATGACATACTAATGGTTGGCACTGTTTTTTCCTCCAGCCCAAAATACTCCATAACGTGTACTCCTTGTCCCGTTTCACATGGCAATGGGCATCCTTCAACAGCTGCTCTAACAGTGGGCTTGTCTATTCAACATCAGAAAGTGGGACGTGGGCAAGGGAAACTTCCCAAAGTACCAATGTTTGATCACAACTGCTAAGCTGCCGAGCTGCAGCAGTTTACCACCTCTACAGCAGTTAGGAGAAGCTCTGCTGAAGGAGCTTGCTCCCATTTACCAGCTGCTCCCTCTCCACTCAACAACTTCCTGTCAGCTTTTGTTTGAATTTCTTGGTCTTGTGCTCAGGTGATGTCACCATTAGGATCAGGTATATTAATTCCCCTCAAGATCCTGGCCCCCAGAGTCAAGTTCTTCCTCTTCATTTTTCCATAGCAACCATTTAAATTTTTTTATGGTTGTGCCCATAGTGTAACAGGGAGAAATGATACTCAGTGAAAACTCAGGCTGAGATACTATCTGCCAGCTGAATCTAAACATCATCCTTCTCACCTCAGGTTATCAGCTCACCAGATCTGACAACCTCTGTGAAGAAAGACATGACACTATGACAAAAAGTGCTTTTTATATATCTTGCAGAGTTTAGGTGGATGAAACACACAAGCCCAGTATCTTAGCCATCTACCAGTTTGGTTACTCATTTAAACCCCTCATGTGCAGTCCCTGCAGAGTTCAGATTGCAGTTTTTCCTACCCAATAGGCTGGATATCCATTTAGATGGATATTGTGTGTTCATCACTTCCCAGCCTGCTTCTGATGTTGGCTTTCTTTGTTAGTGGAACCACAGCATTTGCATGCTAGGGTCTTGGTGTGACAGCTTTTTCATGCCAGAGGTACGTACACAGAATTTATAAAGGCCTAGACCACTACATTTCCAGTAAGACAAGCAAAAGAAGATGTGTCTCTGTTTCCCCTTGTGAAATATGCAGAGTATGTACCCCCTGAAAGAAGCAGAATGCTGTTTCCTGGCTCCCTCCCACCTGCTTTGCCCAGTGAATTGCTGAACGGTGCCCCAGTGGTGGGCAGCAATCCACAGGGCTGAGCAGTGCCAATATTATGGCCAGAGGAATTAACACCATTACTCAGAGATCCCACTTCAGGGAATTAAATTTACTCCAGACACAGAACAAGCAGCCAGCTATCTTATTTTCATTATCTGTTCACTGGTTTAAAGCAGATTTGAAGGTGTAGCTCCTATTAGCATGCTTCTAGAACCTGGGGAAACAGTGGAGCTATAAATCCATGGTTTATGATAGTACTGCATATAGTGCCATGGTAACTGTTTGATCTTCTGTGCTTATGACACCCCAGTATTTTCCCTTAATAAACACTCCTCCAAGCCGACCTTCAGGGTTTACACATTCTCTGATCTCTCAGCCATTTCCACAGATCAAACACAGAGACAAGGGGTTTCCTGTGTATTCAGTTAACCAGATTGAGCCAGCAGCTTTAATTTCCAATTCTTATTTAAATATACTGACAATCAACAAAACAGCCAAAAAGATTGTATTTCTTTGTCTCCAGGTTTTGAAGGGAGTCAGACTCACTGTCCATATGTCCGAGCTAATCTCAAGAGCTCGCGTTAGAGCAGATAGCAAACTGCCAGAAGAAAGGCTTGTCCCACTGTGTCCTCTCCCAACAGGCATCCAAAGCACTCTCCAGGCCAAAGGTATGTGAATTACTGTGCTCATTGCCGGCCAGAGATGTGGGAACACAAATGAGCCGAGCTCACTCTGCCCTCCAGAATCTCCTGCAGGACACAGCAAATCAAGCTGAGAGCTATTGTGCCCATTACAGAGACAGCAGCAGCAAAGCTGCAGTCACAGGCAGAGTCAGTACCACTGTCCCTCTGTAGTTTATTTTAAACAGTTGGAGACAGTGTGGATCTGGCTGCAGGATGGTCTCATGGCTACAGCTTGCAACAGGCCATCTGGATAATCAGGATTTTCTCAAAAATTTTGAACAAACAACTTAGTCACTCTGTGCTTCAACAACATTTAGACTCAGCCAATGAGAAATTATAATAAAAAAGGAGTCACATGACTCACAGGGGCAAGAAAAGGCAATTCCTTATGGCCTTAAAATTCTACAAGTGCCACACAAATACCACCATTCACTAGAGTTCCAAGCTGCTAGAATTCCCCTTGCAAAACGGGAGCAGTGGAAAGCCCATGGGAACTCCCACTGCCTCGGGCTTTGCTGGCTGCATCAGGACGTGTCATCCACCTGCACTCCAAACGAAAACAACGTTCTCAGTAAACCACTACTCCAGAAAAGAGTGAGAAGCAGTGGGCGCAGTGGTGGAGCAGGAGTGCCCAGCAGCAGCCAGCTCCCCGGGGGCCGTGCACCGAGCTGTGCAGGCTCCACACCAGTAGCTATGGTTACTGGATACAAAAGAGGTCCTGCTGCTTCCCCGTGGCCAGAGGAATTCCAGGCACTTGAAGCAAATGCACCAGACAAAGAAGCTGGTACAAGGGGGAAGAAAAATAAAAAAATCAGAGAAAAATTCAAACATATTCTGACTTTTGTATTCATAGTCTGAGGTGATTAGAGCAAAGGAAATTTTGGGAGGCTTCAGAGGGGAAAAAAAGACTGTTGGGAAATCAAAAGAAGCTGAAAACTTTCTCCAGCTCTCAAAAAGTACATAAGTCTCACCCACTAATGTAAGAAAATGCCAAATGCAGCATTCAGCAACTATTAGCAAAGAAAAGGCATTTTGTATTTTCTGCATATTGCCCATTTTTTACCTCCTCTTCTTCATGTCATTGATGATTTCTGTCCTAGCTCAGTGGAAACCAAACAGGACTTTTATATAGAGATACTGGCCTGGCAGTGCCAAGGACAGGATAAAGAGGCAGGTTCAATCCAAATCATACTTTCCAGTAAAAGGCTGGACATGTTCCTGACATGACCTTATAATCCCTAGATGACTAAACCAGATGTCTGGGCCCAGCATATTTCCAGGCACCCACTCCAGATGAAGCAGAGAAATCTATCTTTCAGGGAGCACAAGCAATTGTATACAAGGGTGAGTTTTGGCGCCCAAAGCCATTTTTATGTGAACTTGCAGAATTCCAGTATATACTCCCCCAGGTACACTCTTCCTTTGCCTATGTGTACTTCTGAAGCATTCAGAATGGAAATAAAGCTCCACGTTTCTTCTGTATGGGCACAACCACAAAATTCAGAACTTTGCAGCTGAGAAAGCGGTTACTACAATAGCTGAATAGTCACATGGAAGTGCACACAGGTTTAGCTGTTGTGAATAAATGCATGCACACATGTGTACAGGGAGAAAGACAAAACGACATACAAAATAAATAGAAGGAAAGCCATATCTAGAATGGAATGCCTGTTTACCTCCCAGGTAAGTTTTCAGGCTGCGAATCCAACTGTGAGAGTAACATTTTGTTTAGTTACCTTTGCAGTACAAGAGCAGATCACAGATTTGATTCAAAGTGACTGCATAGCAGCTGGGTAAGGATCAGGCACAGAAGACAAAAAAACTTACCCCAAAATAAGAGGAAAAGTGGCAGCAGGAGAGCAGCATTGTACGCCCTGGAGGTAGTTTTCTTTAATTCCATGACAAGTCTAAGAGTGGCTGTTCTAAAAACCTCTGGGGAGAAACAGTAGTTGGAAAGGAGCACAGCCCAGCTCTCCCCGCATCACGGACTCTGGAGAACCCCCTCTCCTCCAGGCAGCCGGTCCATGCCCTGCCGCGCTGGGGACCAGCACTAACAGAGTGGACAGAGTCCCTGTCCACTCTCCAGTGCTCCACTCATGTCCTGGGACAAAGGGAAAACGCTGCCTGGATCCACGGACTGAACTGCGGAGGGCAAAGCCAGCCGGATTCCAGGGCCCGCAGGCCCACCCCTGAGCAGCGCCCAGCCTGGCAAAGGGGGCAGGAAATCCCAGAGCTGCGAGATCCCCCGGACAAGGCCACAGGGGAGAGGACCCTGTGAGGATTTGTGCTTTCTGGTGTTTGAACTCCCCACATATGATGAAGAACACAAACGTGGTGTCTCCTCCCCGCCGTGCCAGCCTGGGGACAGGGGTGGACAGGGGTCACCTCTATCAGCCTGTACTTACAACCCAACTCCAGACAAGCATCAGTCACGAGTTTCTGACAGCGGCTGCTTTGTTCAAACAGAAAATAAGACAAGACAAAAGCCCTCTGCTAACCCCAAAGAGCAGAGCTAGTCCACAACTGGTCTTTACTGGTCTCTCATACCCAATGAGATGTGTGAACCCAAAAGACATACAAACACCCAAAACACACAGGAACCCTCCTTCCAACTAATCATAGAATCATTTAGGTTGGAAGGGACCAGAAGTATCTGCATAACATGAGCACCAAATCACATCACCACCTTTAGATGCATGTGCTTGGTTTTAGAAGTGGAAAACATTATCAATGTCGACTGCTTTATGAGAGTAACTGGAAAAAGACAGAGCCCACACTCAGTTGTGACCTACTAAATACCTCTAAATCCACATCACAATTGGATTAAATTAACTGTAATGAGAATTACGTACATTGCCTCACCCTTCCACTGACAACTAAAAATAGAAGGCAGGTAAGATGCTGTACAAATTCCTGGCTTAAAGAAGAAAGACACAAGATTGCAAGGAACTGGTGCAGATAGACCCAGGCTGCGTGTGATGAAAACAACAACTCTGCAAGGAGGAATTTATGTCACCTGGGCACCCTTGCAGAGCAGGCAGAGGCTGACGGGCCATGTGCAGGGCAATGGGATGTTTGCTGCACTGGTTTTACTTTCAGTGCAGAAAGCACAACAGTCACAGCATGAGCATTTCCACCACTAAACCACTGCAGTTCAGCAACAAATGGTTCATCTCACTATCCTGCCTTGGAATGCTCCAAAGATGATATATCACGTGTTATCAACCTTATCTGGACCACCCTGCCCCCACTTTCATCTCTGGTGTCTTCAGTCTGTTTTCTCAAGATCAGCCTCAGTATTAGTTTCTTGCCAGTTACCACAACCATCTGGAACTCATTTCTCTCTTTAGAGTCTCTTTTTGCTGTCAGGGGACACAACACTCACACGTGCAGAATCTTTCTGCTCAGAAACTTTTGTCTCACCTGCATGGATTATTCTCCTAACAACTCACCTCTTCCCAATCAAAGCAAATACCTATGAATCCATGGCACAATTAACACAGCAAGAAACCACCATTCTTCCTTGACTAAAACCAGCCACTTCTCTAAGTTGACGAGTGCAATTCTTCACAACAGTTGGGAAATAAAACATAGTAACCTATGGCTCATATGTCTACCTGAAGGACACATTCAGCTTCCATAAAACAAAATTAGTGTACTGAATCCCCTCACTCAGAGCAGAGCTCTCCACAGAGGCTTAGGTCCCATGCAGCTCTGCTGCTACTGCTGTGTGCCCTGTGGCACCTCATACCCCAACAGAGCCCTTAGCTATGAAAGACTTGTTACACACTACACAGACTCAGGAAGAGCAAAGCAGTTTAGTGGAGGGTGAACAATTAAAAAGCTACAGAGAGGAACATTCTGGTGTCTTTCACTACATCTGAGACATTGTCTCAAGCAGCGTTTTCTTGTGCTAGCAACCAAGTTTTACTCTAGAGTCTTCATTTGGCCCTTCTGTCAAGTCAACATCAATGGGTTCAAACTGAACAGCTAATACGGCCAACATGTCAGTATATTACTGTGAGAGGTACCATTCCAAAGGTACCATTTCATGCATTTGTCACAACAACGTTTCAACCCAAGCAACATGGGAAATGGCAGCAGAATGTGGTTCTCAGCCAAATCTCCCACAGGCAGAGGTGAGACTCTCATGCCTGTAACTCTGCCAGGATGTCCATACCCTGAGTTCTGGAGCTGGAGCAGTTTATGAGGGATGATCCTCTTGAAGAAAGTGTTCTTTTGCTCCCTCTGACCACTGTTAACTGCCAGTATGTTCAAGTGGTCTGCTGGGATTTCAGGCTCATTTACTGTTGCTCAAAACCCAAGCTAACGAGGCCCACATAGGTCAAGACATCCAATTCCTTATAATAATCAAAATGCCTTAATCCAGCGTCTACCTGTGAGGATATTAGAATTCATTTTTTTTTTCAGTGTTCACAGTTGCAATCTTATGAGATTTTGCCAGCAGACCAGTTCTGTGCTGGACCCTTGGGCATACAAAAGCCTATGTGGGTTTTAACCAGCTTAGTCCAATTAAAGGACCCTAATGCAACCCTGTTAGGGCCCCGATTTGTTAGGCTTGACTACATTTCCAAAGAAGGAGCACTACTGGGTGGATTTGTTATCTAAAGCATAAGCTCCAAGTCCTTAGTCATCCTTGCTAAAGCCTTCCCCAAACTGCCCGTGGTTTGTGCTACCTCCGCGTCGCTGCGATCCCACGTCAGTATAATCTGCTCTTTAACATAGCATTAAAACCAGAGCCAAAGGACACAGCTGCTTTCCTCTGTGTGACACTCATTATGAGAGACTTAAGGACAGCGTAACAGCAAGGCTTCTATTCTCAGCCAGGAGGCAGGAAACTTTGCAAGCCGGAAACGCATGCATTGAAAATGGGGCAGCAGTAGGCAAGCTGGATTAAGAGGAGAGGGAGAGGAGGTCTGGGGTACCCAGCAGAACCTTTCTGTCTTCTTAGTCTACACTTTTTTGCATACTTTTCATAAAATATTCCAACACAATTTTTCTACAAACAGTTCAGAATGAACTGCACAGCAAGGTATCTAAGGAAAACAACTTGTGCTTTCCATTCACAGAACAATGTACACTTGAGTTTCACAATCTTTCCTCGCACAGGGCTTAAAATAATCCTGATATTACAGACTGGCTAATAAAGCCTAGACGTGTGATATGACAGCCAATACCCCAGACAGAGCTGGTGAGAATAAAGGCATTCCCGTCTCCTGTCCTAGGAAGAGCCTCACCTTCCCTCCTTACAGTTCTGGAACCTCACCACTGAACACAAACCTCCTTTTCTGAACTGAGCAATGGAAGCTACCAGCATCAAAACCTTTTGATTGCCTCCCTGGCTTTGTCCTCTGAGGGTTATTAGGTACAACCATAAACAAAGGAACACATGCTAACAGTGGTCATGGACTAGGAACTTGAGGTGTTGAGCTAGTGAAGAACAAAACTTCCAGTTCCACTCAAAAACGGCGTGCAAAGAAACGACTGCTCAGTACATCTCTCTGTTCTCAGTCACTGCTGGAAAGAGCCAGGTATGGTTTTTAAAAATCTGTTATTTCGAGCCTACAAACTCCCAGGCCAATTCTGTAATCTAAAAAGTTTAAACACGATTTGATGAGGTAATATTTGAGGGTTCTCCAGGGTCCAACCTCTAACTTGACATTTGCTCTTCCCTGTAACAACTGAAGTTTTTGCCCTTACCATGCACTGCCACCGCTCCTCCGCGTGCCCGCGAGATGCCCGCTCTGCCCCACACACACCCGAGCAAAGGCCAGGGTGTGAAAACAGCAGGGTTGGAAAGAAATTCGTGGATCACCAGCAGTGCAACCAGAGACATCCCAAAACACCAAGCTGCACACCAAACACTAATGCCCACTGCCACGTCCAGGCACCAGAGGAGCCAAGGAAGAGTTTTGTTTGCAAGACAGAACTTCCAAGTTCCTATTAAAATCTGGCAAAAGTAATACATACTTTCCAGTCACAAAACATCCTTAGAGACAATAAATCTCTCCACGTGTCCTATTGTTAATCAGACCTGCTGAGGTTTGCAAGACAGAACTTTAAAGTTCCTATTAAAATCTGGCAAAAGTCACAAATACTTTCCAGTCACAAAACACCCTTAGAGACAATAAATCTCTCCATGTGTCCTATTGTTAATCAGACCTGCTGACAAGGAAGTGACGGTGCCTGGTAGGAGCAGTGACAGGGGCACACCGGCCAGCCCCAGGCACCGGCAATGACAGGACACAGGACACAGCAGAAATTGCCATTTCTTGCTAGGCAGTAACTCGACAGAGCAACGTGCAGGATGGCCAGAGCCTGCCCCAGCCTCACCTTCCTGGAGCACAATAACCAGTCCCTGCAGAACTGCAGCCTGAGGAAGACGAGGGTGGGCAGCCCAGGGG